CGAATATATTAAAGTCCAATAAGGAATATTTTAGAGAAAACTTATTCAGTAGTTGACTGTAAGACTACTAGACTGTTACTAGCAAAAAAAAATTTTAATTGATTTGTTTTTAATCTTTTTTTATTATTTTTTGAAAAAATATCTGCCATTCCATATATTTCTTTCCAAGTTGTATAGACTCCATTACAGGTGTGTAGATGCACACAGTTTTTATTGGAGGCTTAAAAAAAACTCATCTTTCCAATGAGTACTTTTATTTTGACAGTCGATGTTTTGTATTATTATAATCTTTAAAAATTGTCAATATATATGTATGTACATTATATACATAAAACTTTTAACTTAATAAATTTAATATATCGCGCGCGTGAAATACATATCATCCTTATTTCGACATTAGAGCGAGAGAAGATGATACTGCCGACAATTTAAGAAATCATGTGCATGCTTGTCGTGCTTGCTTACTCGTGCCCAACAAACTAAATTCTTAATTAAAAAAAAGACACGTATAGTATATGTATGTATGTAACTTACGAGTGAAATCATTGGCGAGACAAGCACCCCATTCCTGCTTGGATAGTTTTAAATCCCGATTTAGGTCGCACGTGCGGGCGAACGTGCGTGCGCACTTCTTCGGTCTCACCGCCTTCTTGGCGAGTCTTCTGAGCTCCTTGTACTCAGCCTTATCTAAGTAGCCGTCCGCGTTCTGGTCCAGCATAAGAAATTTCCACGACAACACCCGTTCGACATTCTTATCATCTATCAACAGGAAAGCAATGTAGTTGGCCATATGCGAGATATAATTAAGAAATTACGTGTGCTAACGTGTGTGGTCGATATCGATACGAGCTTGCAATTTGAATTATCTTTTTTAAAGTTGTTACAAGCTCGCTCGCTCGATCTTATCTGATTGGGATCTGCAGTTGGTCGATTTATAATTATCGATTTATAATCGGAAGAGATCGATTAATCATAAATTATATATGTATATTCTTAACGCGATTGCTCATGTCGCTTATAGAGCTTACCCTCAGCGGATATGTTAGTCCGCCTGTATTCAATTTTGAAGTTCTCGATGAGATTTCCATTAAACTTGGACTTTTCGGTACGATCGCACGTATTTCGATGTCTATTGCTAACGTACTGACTACGTTGCTTCCTACCGACTGCAGGTGAGCGTCGCTTTTGGCCACTCCTAGTAGAAGCAGCAGCAGGTCTGGAACCGGCTCTCAAACATCTTGGTTTTTTGTATCTTACCGTTGTATCGGGCAACGGCCGGCCTTGCGGCGTTACGCACCAACAATACTCGGTCTCCGCGTGACACTGAACCGGCGCATATGTTCCATCGGGTCGGCAGGCAGGCCGTACGCCCTGTCGAGCGGTCAGTCTTGCTGAGAAGCACGCCGGGGTTTCTGAATAAAAGTCATACATGTCTTGTCATGTCACTCGTTCAACTTGACTTTCATCTATTGCAACGTACCTATTATACATATATCTATATGAGCCACAACAGACAGTTTAATTTTAATTTCTGTATCTAATAGACAAAAATCTGCAATTTGAAAGAGAGAGAGAGAGA